TTAAATGTGTTGGCACTTGTCTGAACTTAATAACCCTCTCTGTACCTGAAGTCAGAGTCTACTTTCAGACTATTCTCGAGGAATTATACAAACTTATACTCCACATTTTAAGAATCTGTAAAATGTACCAATTTAGCCAGGATATGAGAATTCTCTTGGTCTTGTGTGTAATTACAACTTCCTCTTCCTTCAGTTCCAACAAAGAACCTCAAAGTAATACCTACAACTTCTTTCTCTGGGGTTGGGATTTTGAGAGTCAAGTATCCAACTAAAAAATAAAGCTTGTATTTAAATGATCAAATCATTATAATCACCTGTCAACCTGTCCTTTTGTGTACCCTCAGCCAAGAATGTACAATCCCCACCAGAACCCATATATGTCTCGCTCACTGTCACAACAGCATGTGATACTGTATCACATGGTGCAACATGATGAAATGGGAATATTTCATGCTGCTGCCACTTCCCAAACAGAGATATTAAACAGGAATTGGCATGGTGTTGCCCAATGGGGGAATTCATTTTCAGTTAAGGATGGATAATAGAAGGAATAAAATATAATAGGCAGGGAGCCACAGCTGTAAAGACAGAGAAAACTGAAGCCATCAAGTCGTGGTGTTAGTCACAGAGACCTAAAGCAACAAAACCCAGCACAGCAGCTCAGAGAGCTGGACCAAGCACCACGGGACAACACACAGACCAGGTAGGTCCTGTGTAGGACATTTGTCATTTCTAAGACTAAATGGGGTCTCATTAGACTCCAATAAACAAGTAAGAATTACCTCAAAATGTCTGCATGGTTTCAAGTAAGATCACACTGAATCTGCATGGCTGAAGAGAGCGTCTAATCCAGTGTCTCTCAACCTCCTAAGGCAGCAACCCTTTAAGACAATTCTTCATGCTGTGGTGACTACCAACCATAAAATTATTTTTGTTGCTACTTCAAAACCTTAATTTTGCTACTGTTATGAATCATAATGTAAATATCTTTGGAGATAGTGGCTTGTCAAGGGGGTCACAACCCATAGGTCAGGAACCACTGGTCTAGCCAATCATGTGTAAGTTTAGTTATTCCCAAAACTTATCTTTTCATGAACTGTAAGTTTAAAAGCCCTCCAAGAAATGATCTTGTAGAAAACTAATGAAATGCTAGTCCTAGAGCTGGAGGAGATGGCTCAGTGGAAAAACTCCTTGTCTGAAAAAGCATGACAACCTCCATTCAGATTCCCAGCACTCACATAAAAGTCAGGTGCAAGTCTCTATCCCCAGTACTGAGGAGGAGGACAGAGAAGGACAGGCAGATCCCTGGAACACCCTGGGCATTCAGCAAACTCTAGGTTCAGAGAGAGACTGTCCCAAAAGACAAGGTGAAGAATGACACCCAACTTTAACTCTGGTTCCTCTATACACATGTGTGCATAAAAAGGCATACTGAACCTGATGGATCACAAGCTAAGATATCCATCTCTCTTAAATTTTCTTTTGATAAATCTATTGAGAAAATAACTGAGATGTGAACAAACATCTGGCAGTAGGATATTTATTACATTATAAAGAAATATAAAGGAATTCTGTGTGATAATCCAATGTCACACATACATACACACACACCATTTTCCCTCTGATACATGGGAAGGGATATCATGTGCAAATAATGTTCATGAGCAATGAGTCCATCACCACCCCACCATGGGGAGAGCAATGAGTGCATCACCATCCCACCGTTGAGAGACTGTTCTAAGGCACTTTCAGCTCCTAGCTGTGCACAGTTCTTGAAAGGTCGCTTGTTCCACGGCTGTGTGCTGAGAATGTGTTTCCTTCGAGCCAAAAATCTAACACATTTGTGTTTTGTTGACACTGCATACACATACCTACCATGTGATATGTTCAGAAAGCTTTACCAGCACATTCTTATTCTTCATAATAACCTGAGAATTAACTGTATGCCACAGTCCACCACCTATACTTTCTAAATAAATAATCTCTGTAAAACCATTTTTTTATAGTTTTGGCCCAAACCCTAGCCCCAACCATTGTGATCTTACTTATAGCCTTTATTTCACTTGGTGTTAATATTAACATATTTAACTGGAAAGAATGTTGATATGCCTGACTACAGGGCTTAAAACTGAAAAATTCTTAGCTTTAGTATATATTTATCCCAAAAAGTTTAAAATAAAGCATCAAGGGTTTGTATAATTATTCCTGCGGTCTGAAATAAGAGATTATTAAAGATTTTTTATCACCTTAAAGTCTTTACTGTCAATGCTATCCTACACTGCCATGAGATTCATGCAGATGATCTCATGTTCTCTGCATAAATCATCCTTTTTATTTACTCCTAGTCTCCATCCAGATCACTCTCTGATATCCTCAAAGTGATCAGTGCCTCTTTCCAAAGATACCACAGATTGATACCACACGGGAAGCAAATCCCTGCAAGACAAGGCCCAACAGCCCAACCCTTGGGCTCACCAACTCATCCAGGACTCAACTTTCAGTCTTAGACACTGAACAAAAAGGAAAGACAGACTTACTCAATGTTAAGGTAGAGCATCATAGAATTTAGGAGGCCTGGAGATTCACAGGAATCAGAAAGTGAGAAAAAGGCAGAAGGTGTGGGCTTCCAGCTGAGTAGTTTAACAGAATCCAATCTGCCCTCTGAACCCTTGTCCATGAACAAACATTCTAAAGTCTTCTGCTTCCTATCTGACCAGCACGCCACCATCCCTGCACTGATCTCATCCCTCTCTTCTCATTCTGGACTCCCTTGTCATCTACACGTTCATCACTCTCGGTCAGCTCTTCTTCCACACTGCACAGGTGCAGAGGTCCACAGTTCTGCCCCTTCTACTGGACTCTATCTGCCTTTTATTCTACTTCAGTGTTCCTTAACAGAATTTCCTTCACAAGGGAACAGTTGCCAACTACACTACACTATATATCCTTTCCTTGTCAACCAAAATGACCAGGTGCGATGGTATACACCTGCAATAGTAGCACTTAACACAGCAGACAGAAGTACAAGGAGGAGGCCAGCTTCAGTGACACAGTGACATGCTGGCTCAGGGGATGGAGAGAACGGCTCAGAGAGTAAAAGCACTAGCTGCTCTTCCAGAGGACAAGGATTCAGTTCCCAGCACCCATACAGTGACTCACAACTGTCTCTAATTCCAGTCCAAGGAATCCGATGCCCTCCTCTGGACCCCACTGGTACCAGGCATACACATGATGCACAGATACACATGTAGACAAAACATTCAAAATTAGAGTCCTAATGTCAAAGATGGTATTGTGTGAGGGGGTAGTTAAATAGGCACAAAAAAGAAAGAGCTTGGTTTTAGTACTCTTAAGAAACCCAAAGTTTCTCACTCGAACTGTTGTGGCTTCTCTTGCATCCTGCCCACTTCCTTTTCACTAAACCACATGTATTTTTCTCTCATCGCACACTGAAGTGAGCCTTGCAACAGCACCAAAAGGAGCTACTGTTCAATAGTAAGAGCTGGAACCCTAGATCTGTTATTAACTATTCACTGTATTGTTGGCTAATTAATTTTTTCTGAACCTTTGCTTCACTATAAAAAGAAACAGTAATACCTACTCCAGAAAAGAAGATGGGCACAGTGGTACACATCTGTAAACCCAGCATTCAAGAATCTGAGAGAGGAGGACTGCTCTGAGTTCTGGCCAGCTTGCAGCTACAGAATGAGCTCAGAGCTATTCTGGATTACACAGTGAGGCTGTCTCAAGAAAACAAACAAACAAAATACCAAGAGATTCCTAAAAGAATCCTCTAAGATAACACATTCCGTACATGATACAGGCCCTAGCACAGAAGGGTTCAAAAAATACTTGACATTAATTTCTTTCCTGAAAACAAGACTCAGCCTACTGTCACTCATTTGCTAAAAGACCTGGCACCTGTACATTGGTTTTTTTCTGAGGAGACATGCTTGCCTACCCTGGAGTCAACTGTGTTCCTTTTGGAAAGTTTTCTAGAAAACCCTCTCCCTTCACTGCAGTAACCTTCTGTGTGATATGACATCTCTCACTTTGGCTGGTTCAGATGATAGCCAGCTTGGCAAGACAGCAATTTCCTCTAGGTCTGGTTGCAACAGGACACCCCTAGACAGGAGACCTCCAGGGGTCTCAGGAAGGGGAGTATGGGACAGACAAGAAATGGAGCAGGGAGATGAATATTAGAAAGTTCTAACATGATTTCTTTCAAAGACTTATTCTTCTCCAGCAAAATACTAGTTGAGATCTCTAGAACAAAGACAGAAAGAAGAGTAATAACGTGAGTGTGAGAGGAAACTACTACATATACTACATACCAATCGGCCTAGGACAGGAATGGAGCATGAAGAAAATCTCCATGTTTACCTGGGTAATTCTGGCTTCCTGAAAATTCTTGCCAGTTACTAAGGGAACAAAATCTCATTTGGATCTTACTCTCCCCGTCGCCACTGCTCTGCCTCACACCCTCCTACACACACCTGCTTTCTGCTGCTTTTATAACCCACTCATTAATAGCTGGTTTCAACCTTGGAGCTTTTAGAAGTCAGGGTTCCCAGGCATACCCCAGATAAATTAAATCAGAATCTCTGAGAATAGGAAAAAGAATAGGGTAATTTACAGGTTAAGAATCACTGGAGTCTTTACTGTTGTTGCTATTGTTGTTTGTTTGCTTTCAGTGTAAGTCTTGATCTATATCCATATCTTTCAGGACCCCAGTGCAACTTAAAGGAAATCTACAACTAATTAGATGAAAATTAGTCTAGTAAAGCAGTTAAAGAGAAGTGATCCCACCCTGTTTCCTTAAAGAACTACAGATCAGGAGCCTGAGACAGAAAAATTGTGCTGCACTTAACTTCCCCAAAGCAAGAGAATGACCACTTTGGGCTGAGGCGGAAGACCATGAGACCATGAAACAAGACTGTGGAAGATTAAAAAAAAAAAAAAATGGGAGTGAAAAGAGGAGAAAAGAAAGAAGAGAGCATCTTTGTGTTATTAAAAGAACAGGGCAGGCATACAGGGGAAAAATGAAATGGCAATAGAGAGGAAGAAAAAGGAAAAGGAAATAAAAAAACTGTAAATATTATGACCTACAGGCTACAAGGAAGCAGTAGAGTTACTGTCCTCTCTGTATCCAAGGCTCCATCACCTAGCAGGACCTCTATGACCTCATGCTGAAGTAGATCACAGCCCAAGGTGGGGGACGGGAGGCTTACCTCCCTGCGCAGCTTGGGGGTTCCTGCAGCAGCCACTACCCTGCCCAACCCCTCCCACTTCCTACCATGTTGGTCAGTAACCCCCACCTGCTAACACTGGATGAAGCAGATGCCACTTGGACCCTCATCAAGGATAAGGTAGGTAAAATAAGGAGGCTAAGGAGGAAGTGGCTAAGTGTGACCAGGCTGATTCTTAGGTGGTCTCTGTGTACAAAGAGGAGGGACATCAAAGACAACAGTAGCAGCAGTAACTGACATATAAAAGCCACAAAATAAACACCTAAGTGAATGAATGAACTGAGGATGAACAACTAATTTAAGACAAACATCAAAATCCTTGAGAGGAAAAAGGAAAAAATGTGTATTTCCAAGCTTAAACTACCATATTAGAGAAGTGGCCATCAGACTTGAGGCACTTAACAACCATTGCTTGGAAATATGCTCACCACAGAGACAAGGGAAGCAGAAATAAGAGAGCAAAGGATTTTCCCAAGATTAAGAGTAATTGGTTTCAACAGTGCTAATCTGTATCTACCCTAGAACTGCTGAAATTACAGTGAACATAAATGAGGCCTTCCTCCATAGGAAAGAAAAAAGAAAACTCTTCTTATATTATTATCTCAGTGGATATCTCAGGGCAGAGATACAAGGATAAGCGGGACGACTTCAAGCAGAACGGGGCACCTTTGAGTGCCCTTATTTCCTTCTTTCAATGTATATCCAGCACCTCAAAAACAGCTTTATGGTAGAAAGTAAAAGCAGGTCAGCTTCAGGGGCCATTGGATGAACTCAATGTAGGAGCACAGATATGTGGGATCTGGTGGATAAAAAGTAGGTCACTTGGAACTTTTATGTGCCCTTGCTCTCTAGCATAACTGAGAGCCAGAGGATTCAGTCAAAGAAACTTTGAATGAATCGCTATCTTAATAGCTAAGTTACTAACTACTAAAGAGGATCTTGCAGTGTTCCCAGGTACTCTCAATAACTGCTCACCAGTTACACATATTCCAAACAAAAGCAAGAAATAAAGAAGGATAAACCTAAGAAACTAGAAACCCTAAATGGATACTGGAACGAGACAAACTGGAATGAGACAAAGATTAGGCCTCACACTCAGAGAAACAACTATCCCTCACAGGTAGGGTAGAAAACACAAAAGAGGTAACTGACCCTCACAAAGAACAGGCACTGTAAGCCTACATCTGTGTACCCGTTCTCACTAATATTATCCATGTAACTCATCACCTAAGTATGATCTTTGAAGATTCCTTTTTTCCACATTCATGATAAGACTAAGTTCTACCAATTCTGTGACTTCAACTTCCCATTATTTTAGCTCAGGAAATAAAATCATGTTTTGCTTGCATTATTTCAACAGTCTTGTTATTTCTCTTTCCTGCTTTATGCCTATTAAAAAATTAGTTCTCTTCTTCCTGGTCCCATCTTCCATCCAGAGCCTACAAATGGCTTTCCATTGGCCTCAGAATAAAACAATCACTTATAAAAGGCATATACACACAGCTTTCCATAAACTAACTCCTGTGTGCCTTTTCTCTTCCTACCTTAAATGCAAGCAGTAAGAAATCATGTGTTCCTAAAATGTACATGATTTGATGGTTCAGGGATTTTCCCTGGCTGTCCTTTCTGCTAGGAATGACTACTGCCCAACCTACTAATACCTCCAAAGCCCAAGTACTGCCACTACCAAACTTCTTTGACCATCTTTCTATCAAAGACAAAGGCTGTTAAATCACCTGTCTTTGTCTCATCCTGCTATCACTACTGTTATACATAATGCTAACTACTGTTCACATTTTTGTCTCCTCCATTAGCCCAAGCTTCTTTAGGATAAGGACGAAGTCTCATTCTTTCATGTATCCAAGTATCTACCATAATCTGGCACAAAATAAGACATTCAAGGTTTTGCTACAGGAGGGAAGTAGGTGATAAGAAGTGTGGGTCTATGTATACTACAGAAATGTACTTAAAGAGTGAACAGTGGTGGGAAGGTCAATTTAGACAACACAAGTTAACCTCTGACCTTAACTCAGACCCTGACTTATAAACTGGCCACCTGCAGGTCATCGAGGAGCGTTTTGGGTCCAATGTAGTGGCAGTACCTTTCCTGTCGGATGCAGCCTGCTATGATCTACTGGGCGTGCTAGTGAAACAGTCCCGTCCAGCTCACACCCGCCTAATTTTGCCAGGCCGGCAGGGTCGAAGGGCACTGAAATCAGTAGGGTTGCTACCAAATCTTCTAGAACAGGCAGGGTCTGATGGTGTCTTTGCCCACTGCACTCGGGAATACTCACCAAATGGCCAAGCCGAGATAGCCTATGAAGAAATGAGAATGTTGGATGGGCAGCCCTGCCGGATCCGCCTACATATGGGAGGCCTGCGCAAGAAAGTTGCCTTCCTGCTGCTACCACCAGGGCAGGTGAGCCTACAGCAGAATCTTCCTTGGCTCCGAAGCACCCACAGCATCTACGTCATCTACCAGGTCTTTTCCTGCACCTGGTTGCAGCTAGGGCTGTTACCTACAGCCCGTGAGCCCCAGCTGCTCCGGTTACAGCGGTCATTACCTATTGCTTTCTCCTGCCTCAAGTTTTCACTGCAGCCCAAGGGTGTGCTGGGACCACAGAAGTCTCTGACCAAAAAAGACCCATTGCCCCAAGGAGCCATCTGGGTTAGACCTAGCCTTAGCATCTTATCAACTCTGGCCCCCACATCAGTACCTGCCGATGCCCTTGAAGTTGCTGATGTATCTCCACCTGTCCCAGCCCCACCTACACCACCTCCCCAAGAAGGGCCAGAAAGCAGACCCACCAGATTCTCCTATAAGGGTCGAAACCCCTTCCGGAGAGGCCCCTATATGCTTTCAGGTACTGCTAGAGGAAATGAAGATGAAGGGTGGGAAAGACCATTGGAGGGAGAGGGTACAGGGAATATAGCCCAGGAATGGGTTGAGAAGCCCAGAGTGTGTGCAGGACCCTTATGAAGGGACAGACTTGAGGGAGCCCAGGGAGGGTGAGATGGAAGCATGGCCCTGGTAAGGGTGTGTGGTGGGGGCGGGGGGCATGTAACAAAATCAGAGGGAGGGACTAGGGCGGAAGATCAGGGCGGGCATGAGTCAAGCTATGACTATCCCCAACCCTAGCAGAGAACTGGCTCTTCAGTCCCCGCAACCCCCCACCAGGAGCCCAGGGTGGGGGCCCCGGGGACCCCGACCGGCACTCCATGTCCCTGCCCCTGCTGCAGGGTCTGTCCTCGGAGTTCGACAGCGACGAATGAAGCTGGGACAAGAGACGCAGGGGGCAAGGCCCCTAAGATCTGACATAGGGATACTGGTCCCCAATAAACATCAGCTGCTGCACCCCCAAACCACCCTGGGCCTGTGTGCTTCTTCCTTCTGGGAGCCAGAAAAATGAGTCTCCATTTTCCCCTAAGCATTAAGTCCTCTCACTTCTAAGAGTAAAGGGGCTCTCTTGAAACCCAACCACCAGTGTTATCACCAGAAAGGCCTCCTGATGATTCATGTCCCACCTGCATACAACCTTCACAGGGCCACAGCCCCAGAGATAAAGGGTGCCAAAGAAGAATGAGCACAAAATAGAGATTTCCCTTTTATACATATTGCAACAAGTTCTCATAAAACATTCATCTGAAATAAATTAAAAAGTCCATTTGTCACTGCCTCCAAACATAAAAAGGAGCCCGTGTCCTGGAATTCAGCCCAGGCCACAGTAGGCCCTGATTGTCCATGGAAGAAAATTAAGGATTGAGGGGCCCAACGCCTGAGATGGGAGGAACAGATACCTCCTCTGAAGTATCCAACAAGAAAGGCGAGGTGACGGCATGGGCCTGGGAGATGGCAGCCAACTCCTTGAGAAACTCAGGGAAAATGACTGCACAGTAGACAGCGTTCTTGACTCGCAGAGCCTCACCTTGTCGTTCAGAAGCTCCGCTCCGGGGGAGCAGAACTGGAGTTGAAGCGCCTGGAGAGGCCCCACCTAGTCCAAATCCTGTTCCTTCTCGCCCAGGTTGAAGAACCTGTGCCGCCTGCCGGGCTCTGGTGGGACTATGTGCATGCCGCAGGAGTAACTCCCCCAAGGATGGCCTCCGGCTCCTCACTGAGAAGAAACAGGAGTATCAAGAAGGTGCTGGGATCAGGGAACCTGCTCTAGTCTGGGGAACAGATTCCCCAACCCCCTTAGGTTCTTGAACTTCTCCCCTGGGTTCTGGAAGAATGGAAGGACAAGATGGACAAAAACTGAATTGAAGTTCCTTTTTTGTCTCATCTCTAAAAATGACTAAAGATTTGAGACAGGTGTTTTTCCTCATACCAAAATCCTGCTTTCCCCTCTATCCAGTCTCCTCAGCAGCCAGTATTGAACTACTTTATTCCCAGCTACAACTCCTTCCTTCTCCATGACCCCTCGTCCTAAAGAATTTAATCTAACCACTGTTAGATGGCTCCCATACATAATATGCCCCAGCTTTGTGTTTCCTATCATTCTCTAGAGCAGTGGTTCTCAACTTCTTAATGCTGTGACCCTTTAATACAGATCCTCATGTTGTGCTGACCCCCAACCATAAAACCATTTCATAACTGTAATTTTGCTACTGTTCTGAATTGTAATATAAACACCTGATATGTAGGCTATCTGATATGCAATCCCCAAAGGGGTCACAGCCCACAGGTTGAGAACCATTGCTCTAGCACCACATCCAGTCAACTACTTCTACTTTGCTCTGACTACCTAAAGCTGACCTGCATCATCCGCTCCTTCAATACCCACATGTACAACTGCAGTTCAGGGACGGCTTCATTTCTTAACACTTCACTGCCTGTCTAGGATCAGTGTCCTTACACTACTACTTCATCACTCACCAGTCCCCGCCCTATACCACCAAGACCTCCCTCCTGCTGGGTATGCCCAGACAACTTCATATTTGTTTGACTCAAACTGTCTAACTTTCTGGATTCCATCACTTAAGTAGCCTATCTCTAGCCCCTCGATTATAGGAAATGTCTCTATTCGCCACCTCTAACAGTGCTTACAGAGACACCATACAGACTTATTAACCTTGCATTCAGAACCTTCACAACCAGGGTCTCACTCAGCAACCTACCTTCATTGGATTCAATAGGCATCTTATATCTATCTGCAGCTTCCTTCAGCTACAATTTGTCATTTCTACTTTTTTATCCTTTCTGCCATAGTTATCTCCACCTGGGAGAACCCTGAAAATATTGCTGTGATCTTCCCTACGCTGACTTCATGCTCTTCTATCATTAACTCAACATCAATAATTTCTTCCCAAGGCTTCTCTCTCATGCACTAAACTATGAACTCAAGAACTTAAGAATGTCACATTTTAATGCTTTCTTAGCTCCTCAACTACTACCAAATCCTGCCATATTTAATGCTTCCTTGTCTCCTTAACCACTGATAGTTCTGTAAAAACCTCCTTCCCAAGTAGTAAAAGACAAGATCTCCTGAATACATTGGGAGCGTGGGGACCATAGGAGAGGGTTCGAGGGAGAGAGGCAGGGAGGGGAGAAGAGAAAAATGTATAGCTTAAAAAATTAATATAAATTAATAAATAAAAATTTAAAAAAAAACTTCCTTCCCAACTCTGCCCTACTAGATGCTTGCTGCTTTCCTTCCCACTACTCAAATTCAAACCTCCCTGGTCTTGATTGTTCTTCCTGAATCCCTTCTCTTAACTCCAATTCATCTACAATCACTCCTAACAATAAGATTTTAAAAACTTCTCCTGGTTTCTAAGTGTCTGAACGAAAAATCACTACTTCTGCCAGCATAGCTTCCACTCTAAAAGCCTCTTACTCTGGCCAAACCTTTCTAGCCATATCGCCAATTGCTCCACAGCCTTGTAAACCCCCCTACTCTCATCGTTTGAAGGCAAATACCACATCAAGTTCTCACAATATCTCAATCCAAGAACTTCTTTCCCTTTCCTTATTCCTCTATCATTATGCAGGTTTTTGTAGATACTGACAATTAGGTTCTTAATATAATGACTCTATCTTCTGACTCAAAACCTGAAGAAAAAAAAAGGAAGACTCAAACTGGATCTTAACTAACTTGGGCTAATGAGGTGTCTAGGGAGAATAAGGAAGGATCGTCAGTTAGTCCTTACCTACAGACTCAGAGCGGCGGGGAGCAGGGCCTGCTGTAGGACCTTCAGCCCAGTCCAGCTTGCCACGAGCAATGAGGTACTTCTTGGCTTTGGATAGCAGAGCAGGGAAGTCCTCCTGGGAGGCTGCAAAGCTCTCAATCTTATTCTTCACAGATCCCAGCACCTGTGAGACACAATTTTAGAATGTTTCTAGTGGTTTCACATTGACACAAGCCTTCCTAGTCCCACTGCACCTGTTCCCAGGCCACCCAAGGTCACTCTAGCTGTGGGCCTGGCCCACCACTGAGCCTGGACGCACCCATGCATGCATGCATCGCACACCTGCAGCAGGGACTTGACACTGGGCTGGAAGACCATGTTGGTGTTGAGCAGGAAAGAGCGGAGCAGGGGCTGGGGGTGACAGGCCAGCTGGGCCACCAGCCCCGTCAGCAGGAAGTTGACATAGACGGAGTTCTGCAGCATGTTCTCGAGTTTGGCAAAGAGCACAGCCATGAAGGGGCCTGGGAAGGGGGTGGGCACAAGGATACAAGGCCTGAACACAGTGCACATCGCAAGCATTCCTCCCCTAAACAAGACCCCCACTAGATGAAAACTGCAAGAATCTGAGTGTGTTAAATGACCTGTGACCACTTTCTCTGGACAATTAAGGTATCCAGATGCCAGCATTATAAATATTATGACTGAAGAGTCAGATCTCAGGCTCTAGAGTGTAGATACATCTCAGATTTCAGATGTGCTCTGTGACTTGATAAGTTGAAAGCTTGCCAACATTTAGTTTCCTATTTATAGTAAAATAAATATACCTACCTCATAAGATAATTAAGAGGACCAATGAGATATCAATGTCAAATATCAAGTACAAGAGCTGGCAAATTTTTTCATTTGATTATAACCATATCCTACACTATATTTCTCAGTTTTTAAAAAGCTTCATTAAAGAACAGAACAGAAGAATACACACAGACCAAGTCACAAAGCCAGTTCCATGTAAGACAGAGTAACAAAATAGTGGTCAGAAAGAAAGCAAAAAAGATATAACAGCAGCAAAAAAAGAGACTGTGAATTTCAAAGCAAGTAGAAGTCTTTAGAGGTACAGAGACAGTGTCAGTTTTGTCTTTCAGGAGCAGGGAATCAAGGAGGTAGACTAGGCTCTAACAGGAATAGAATAGCTTAGTTCGGAGGCAAAGGAAACTGGTTCAGGATGAGAAGGGATTAGCATTCCATCCTAGGAGAAATGCCTTAAGATATAACATGACACTGGACCACTGAAGCCATCACAGTATTTTCGATGAAATATTTTTATAGAAATAGAATATTATTTAAACTTTGATAGAAGAATGATGTACAAGTGGTGAATCCTAAAACAGATTTTATACCACCATCTACCTGGTGTATCCATAGGACTAGTCTTAGCCCAGAAGAAATACTAGCTTAAGGGTCCAAACAAAATTTCTAGCTTTATCCTTCTGTTCATTCCCTGGGACTATCTTCTAAGGGTTAATGCAAAGAGTACAAATGACTTTACAAAGAAAAGGGAAAGAAGCATCAATTAATATTATAAGACTCTGGAAAAACCACACCACCACCTAGAGGTGCTGAGCAGAAAAGGAATGGAGCAGAAGCTAAATGAATAGGAAGATAGTTTTCTATAGTGTGCTAAAGAAGGAATACGGCTCCAGACAGAAGCAATCCCAGGTTTATCAAGATATGCAGCATACAAACTTGACTCTTGACAACTAGGATAGGTGGTGCCTTACTGAACTTCAGTCTTCCATGACCCACTAATAAAAATCCCAGCGAAAAGCTACCATTTGTTGTGTTTTCACAATGTGCCAATATTATATTGAATGATTTTTCATGTACCAATAAAACTTAAGGAGTGCTTAATCTAAACTCTGTAGTCTTAACCGTAGCTACTATACTGCTTCCCAGAGATTGTTTTGTTTTGCTTTGTCTTCCCATGCTAAGATATAGATTACAGCTTGATAAAGACTTGTCTTGCTCATAATCAAAACAAAGAAGAACCAGTACAAAATCTCAGATTGGACCTAGCTCCACAGGATCAACCCAGAAGGGCCTATCAGGTACACTTCAAACTATGCTTTGTCATTTGCCCTCAAAGAATATCACCCACCCACCCCCAATCCTTACTAATCATACGTCCTTAAAATAACTGTATTGGACAGTCATGGTAACGAAGAAGGTACAAGACAATGAATAGGAAAAATGAAATCAGGCCCTTCTTTGAAGAGGCAG